TATTTCGATAATTTCTTAAGTTCCGAAATGTATTGTAAAATAGTTTCTCCCCCTGCTTGTCGTTTTTGACGAAAATGGTAACGTTCTGCCATAAAAGACGGTTTTGGGTGCAGGTGATCTGCCATCATCTTAACCACCACACCATATTCTTTAGCACTAGGTTTATCCGGGCTCGACAAATTGCTTAGAAGTTCGTAGGCTTCGTCCCCCATCGCCGCGATCAAAGTGGGTAGCCATAACTCTTCTTTTACGCCGTTAACTTTGAAGTACATTTCTGCTCGTTCCACGTACATAGTCCAATTTCCCGATCTCACATTGAACTCAGTCAATTTACCGATAGACATTTTACGATAGACACGATACGATTGCAGACCGCCACAATTTTTCTGCACGCGAAAAAACAAATCCTCGTTAGCCAGTGAGGTGTATCAAGGAAACACGGGTTTAGCGTTAGACAGTATATTGACAACTGGGCGGTCGTGCCGCGATCGGGCGGCGCGTCGCCTGCGCATACATAGATATAAGTACATACGTAGGTATAGATCCACCGCTATAGACTATAGACATTACAGATAGTATTAGAAATGCCCAAATAAATGTATCTTGTCTAACTATTGGGAAAAATTAATTGGCTAAAGCCTGGTCCGTGAGCACGTAGAATTTTGTCCAATGACCCCAAGCTACCCATCCTTATCGCTCGCGCGTAATAATGTTGCTTTCGCGCTCGCACACTCACTGCGTCCGCGCATCGCACAGTCGCGACAGCAATATAATTACGCGAGAGCGATAAGGATGGGTAGCTTGGGGTCATTGGACAAAATTCTACGTGCTCACGGACCAGGCTTTAACAAGGATGAAATTGTACACTTTTTGTTGCATCTTTACAGCAGATGTACAGGACTCCTAGGTGGTAGGGCGGGTTATATTTGGGACGTGTATAAACCTGGAATATACCTGACGCCCGTATTCACAAACATTACTATGAGGTCTCACAGTGCGCGTGGACGCACAGGGTGACACACGAACCAATCACAGAGCTCTACTCAACACTCTGCGCTCGATTTGCTGCTTCACCTAAGCAAGCATCGTTTGTGAATACAGGCGTAAGTACCTATTTATTATAATAAGCTTAATCGACTTTGACTTGCTCCTTGTATTACGCGAAAACATAACATAATTAATAGGTATGTCAAGGTAAAATGCCTATGCATAATTTTATTATAAAAAAATAGCGAACATTTTGTTTACCTAGCGTGTAAAAACACGTAATTCCCATATCTTTCACATTAGAATTTGCACCATGACAATCAAATAAACACATTTCAATTAACAATGATTAGTAAAAAATCCTAATCATACATCAATGTAAGTATAAGAGTAGGCGCACACCGTTGATTTTTAGTTGGCCGATAGTTGTGCCCGATTTTAAATTGTATGAAGAATCGGCCAAATCTGATCGGCGTAGTGTGCGCACTCCCATACATGCCAATATTGCCCATACTGATCAACTGCCCGACTAACTATCGGCCGACGAAAAATCAACGGCGTGCGCCTACTCTTAATGTCTGTGCCTGATAATAAATTATCGACAAAAAGATAGGACTCAGATAAGCGTTTGGCAATTATTATGTAGGTAATTAATCCTACTAATCCTATAAATGCGAAAGTTTGTATAGATGTCTGGATGTTTGTTATTCTTTCAAGCAAAAATTTCTGAACGGATTTTGTTGAAACTTTACAGTATTATTGTTTATAACCCAGATTAACATTATATGCTATAATTTATGACGATCTGTCTGTGATAAACTAAATTTCACGCGGGTGAAGCCGCGGGCAAAAGCTAGTGTTTAATAAGTCTATAAACAATATAATTATTTTAATCAGTACTATTTAGACTGTATTCTTAAAATATTCTTTTTTCTTTGAATAGTTATGCTACATAATATCTTCAGAGTGTACTTTTGGGGAGCATTTAGGCCTATAAAATTATGTAGGTTTTCAAATTTTACATTGGGACCTTAAGATTTATATTAATCGCTAATTACTTTTTTATCTTAAGACTTTATAATCATGTATCTTCCTACGTCAATCCAAAAAATACACGCACTGCGTGTATACACGTCGTAATTGTTATTTAAATACAAATATTTTGTTTAAATTAAATTGGAACTACTCTGAGAGAGACGGTGACAGATTGAACTCCTGTATCCTCAGATCATAGAAAGAGAATAGATATGAAGTCGCGCGTAACTACAACGAGAACCAGTGTCCCCACATTTCCCCCACCACAGCTCCCACACACACATTCAACTGTGTAAAAACAAAGCGACTGAGAGTCTACGACAACATATGCAACCGGCTTAAAAGTGCTGTGATTGGCCAGAAGGCGTGCCTTATGGCCAATCAATGGCCGCGTGACGTGACGCACACTTTGAAAAAAGCAGTTAGAGAGAAGAAAGATAAAATGGAGTCGATAAGATATCGATACTTTAAATCCTGGGGGCAAGGCTCGAAATTGGTTTAAAAAATGCTTGTATGTTTTTTTTATTTATAAGCAAAATACCAATGGATTTGCAATACTTACATGTGGTAAATGACTTCATTGTTCCTGTAGTTCTTCGTTTCACTTATGTTATTGCACGTTACGACGCATTATCCAACAATATCGGAGAACATTTCCTCAGTACGACTGAATCGCGACTAACCTGGCGTCGCGGGCGATGTTCGTTTCTGGGCATATCGCGGAGACACGCGCCACGCCCCCGTTTCACATTGAGGTAAAGAACAAAGCACTGTGAGACAATTATGTTATGACGTCATGAGCTTTTAAGCTCGCTTTCCTAATGCAGGTGACAGGACTTTTTCTATTGCTCGCAATATTAATATTTACTTCACAGCGACAAGTAATAAGAAAAATGAGATCTTTAAAATATATAAGCACCTCTTACTTTAACTTTAGCAAACGCCAAAAATCAGTCAAACTCCATACAAAAAACACCGGTTATCGCTATAGTTACGGTTAAAGTTAGGTGGTGCAACTCAGCCTTAACTTGCGCTTGATAACGCTTCTGAAGATGCGATTGATGATGACTTGGTTAATTTTTTTTAATCACAGAAAGATTGACATCAAATAATGATATTGTATGTAGTCATTAAAGATACAATCGTTGTAAAAGATCACAGAAAGAAAGCGCATCATAATGACTTTGTACGTAGACAATAAAGATACAATCGTTGTAAAAGATTATTTCCTACACACTTGCAGTCACGTCTGTAGATTACTAATACGTGGTTAAGGTATTATTCATAGATATTCATTGATAAAATGAGGTAAACGAGCAATATTGTATATTGGTACCTGATTTATAACTTGAATTCAATAGGACCTTATTGTGAATCAATTTTCAATGGAATAATGTAAGGACACAACTAAAAGCCTTATAAAGTACGCAATGCATTTGTATTCGGTTAAAATATAGCTGTATTATGAATTGCTACCAGTTTGAAATAGAAATTCGTATGTATAACAGTATTTATTTTGATATTCTAAACCTATTCAACTTTCAACCTCAATGGCTCAACCCATAATAAAAGAAACTAAATTAGAATTTTATTAAATAACATTATCTTATCAATCGTAATCACGTCACTAGTAATCAAGTAATCACAACCAATTGTTAAGGAAATACAAAGTAATTTCAGAGATTAGATTTGTTAAGCTTAGTGGTTTGGTTTCAAGAAACGGTCTCAGGTTGGAATCCCGCTTTGATACAAAACAGTTCTGTCAGTTCTGTCGCGAATCCTTTAATAAAATGGATTAGTGGTGGTTTTGTATTTAAGCACCTTTCGTATTTTCTTTTCACTATTCACTTTTATAATTCCAAACACTGCACTCCTTTTCGTTGCACTTTTATACTTCATTTATTTTAACTTTTTTTCTAAACACATTCACTATTTTACACATACAAACTCACTATTTTAAACGACTTGTAGCGAGTTATCCCTAGTCACCATCACCTTTGGCGGATTATGAAGATTCAGGGCATAGCCAGCACATAGATAATCGTTGGTTGGCAAACACAATCACCCTCGGTGGCTTATGATGATTTGAGACTACAGAAACAGTGTGACCACTGACCAATGCAAGTCTAACCAGCCGAAATTAACTAGTCTCTGTTGAACGTAGTCATCTGAAAGTCTTCAAGACTCGTACTAATGCCCCTCCTTTAAAGCTTGTTGCTTAATGCCTTCAGCAACTGCTGTAGGTATCAATCTGCACTTCAGTCTGCAGTAATATTCGCGATTGTCATTTGATCTTCCCTTCTTATCAGTTCTCAAGTAAATGGCCACTCCTCCAGGCCACATTATCAGTGGCATGTGTGCAACAGACATCTGTCGCCAAGCTATCTCCTCCCAGGAGATAAGATCCAAGATGATAGGAGATATCCTCCCAGAAGACAAGACGCAAGATGGTATCACCTTCCAACTTCACAAGACTTCGATTTTAAGTAGCACAAAGAAGCAGGTCACACACGAACTGATCCATTTGCAACCACAACCCACTTCTAACGCGCGATCTTTTATCTTTCAGATAATTCTCTCACGTCCGCGATAATTAGTTAAAAGTGGATTAATTTTTATAGATTAGAACGGTATTAGCACGCGCCCATAGAAACTGTCAATTTTCCTAATTAATAAAGCCGAATTACATTGATATCGAGTTGTATATGTACATAATATACTGCCAGTGATTCGAGTAAACGTAATCTTTTAGGTGTTAAACCTATCGGCCTATAAAGTTTTGCTTAACAAAATCAGAACAAACACAATTCAATAAAAGGTAAAACAGAATTTCCACCTCTCCTTCCCACTCCTTTAACTCCTGTGTAGCCAAGATCTAAATAACAAATGAAACGTAGCAACTAATAAGGAGCTGATTGTTATCAATAAAACACGTTAAGAAAATGATAACTGATTTATTACAAACACCTTCCCTAATCCTAAATACGTGACATACACTTGATGAACACATTAGCTAAGATGAACGCAGTGTAGAACACTACGAAGGCTGTTAACACATAAACAACTACAGAAGCAGCCCAGCTCTTGAATTCGCTGGTGAGGAACCCAAGGCACAGACTGATTGAGGACATGAAGAAGGTGGGCATGCCAACGCCCATGTGAACAATTTTGAAGAATGGACTGAAACGATTCTGCCTTGACAGGAAATTGAAGGGCCCAAAGATCACACTGAGTCCTGCTAAAGCTAGCGTTATTAGCCCTGAAACAAAAAAGTTATGAAAGATAACCTAATCAATGAAAATGGTGTACCTGTGATGATTATAATAATATGGGGCTGGTTATAGTAAAATAACATTTATTTAAACTAAAACATATCATAGACCGATTTAACTGAATGTCAGGACTAGGGACCAATCTCATGGTAAAAGTCTAGCATTTGAAAGTGTGTAGGACTACATAGTTTCAATTTTGTAAATGTATCTTCATCGTACCATGGAAAGAGTCAATAATATATTAAATTAATATAAATATATTAAAAGACCCAATTGTAAACGCTTAATATGCAATAAAAAAAATTGAATTTGAATTTGAAAAAAAATTTGCAACAAATGATGAGGAATAAGGCAAATAACCAAACACATTATAAGATTAAAATCATACCCGTTATTCCGTGCGGCTGACCTTTGACGTAACCCCTCGAAATAAGAACAAGCGCAGTACCAGCCACGGCGCAGGTCAAGCCGCACACTTGCAGGAAGATGTGCGCGCACCTCCGATGGCGCGGCTTCAGCGGCAGCGACCAGCCGTTGGCGTAGTTCATGCTGAGGATCGCTTCGGCGGTGAAGAAGTGGTACTGCAAGGTTTGAATGAAATGAAAAATGAAAATGTTTTATCAAATCTAAATAAAATAATGTGCGTGTCACTGAAACGGTATCCACTCAGGATCATGCCGAGGTATCGCACGCGAGGTACACCACGACCCTGGTCTTCCGTGGATACCTCGAAGAGCAAGAAGCACTGCTTTGACACGGCAATAATACTCCCATTGCCATACCACAATCTGGTTGAATCACAGATACCTACTCGTAATTAAAATGTGTATTTTGATGACTTTTATATCCTCAAATATCAATGGTTCTATCATTATTCCAAGCATTTATTGTTACTTAAGTTGATGAGAAAAGCCCTCCTTTGAAAAGGTACAGAAGTCACTTTAAATATTTCGATAAGATCTTCCCACTGTAAATGTTTAGTTTTGTATACCAAATAGTTATTACTGGTTAATTGTCGTACAAATTCGTAAACCGATATGAATATCCTATCAGAACGTGAAAACAAATACGCTTTAGGAAAACACCGTTCATAAACTTAGATAAGGCACCACAATACACGAGTTCAATTACATTTGCCTATTCGCCAATAAACCTTTGTCCCTAACAAGGGTTCTTAACCCTTTTAAAATCTATGGCCTACGTGCTTTTTAGTTTTTGGTCTAAATTATCTTAGTTATTAGGCCAAAAGTTGTAGATACAGAATATAGAGAAAGTTTGTCTCCATTCTCGGATTAAGACGTACAAATATATCATCACCATCGTCACCAAAGATATTTGAAATGCTGATCCACTGTACCTCAACACGTTTTGAGCTTTTTCAGAGTAGGTAATGTCAGCAGTATACTTTGACTTCCCTTCATGTGCTCATATTACGTGAACATCTTATTCAAATCTTATGTTCGATTTTCTCCTAAATAATATTTCGGCCATCCATTTTGATCCCGTTTACAAATCTAATCCCAATCGCAAAGACGCTTGTTTAAGGTTGTACAGTTAACAATGTTGCCACTGCTAATAATCATATTCCTTCTGCAGAGATCTAGATAAGCATGGGCCAATAACTCTGGCTGCTCTTACCGAGTTATCTGAACACCTGTTTATGTATCTGCTTACAAGCACTTCGCGCACAACAAAAGTAGGTTCAGAAATTTCACGATGCGATATGGTTTAAATATCGGCCTTGCCAAATGACGTCCACTGCTGGACAAAGNCGCTAATTCTCTGTATGTTCCTTATAGAAACAAAAAATACTCGACGGATTTTAACGAAACTTGGTACAATTATTCTTCATACACCTAGGCAGGTTATAGTTTACTTAGGAATTCCCACGGGAACAGGAATTAGCGGGAAAATCCTTTTGTATGAAAAATTTAAACGCTTAACGGAAGTTAGACGCTTGAAATTTGGCATGTAGGTACCTTAGTAAACTTAAAGCTTATTTACAACAAGTGATTACCGAAATTCCCACGGGAATTAGTGGGAAAATCCTTTTGTATGAAAAACCTAAACCGCTTAAGTTGACCTGAAGTGATGCAGTGACCGCGCGCTCTCCGCCCTCTATCTCGAAAACGGTTCACCGTATAAAAAAAATTTTTAAACAAAATTTGTAGAGAATTTAGTATTCTACAATATAATAATACAAATATGTCATATTGTATTATAATATCATATTGTATTATTATATATACAATAATACAATATNTATTATAATATCATATTGTATTATTATATATACAATAATACAATATGATAATAAATACAAATAGCAAAAAACCCATAGGAAATGAGATATTTCCAAAAAAAGCGCAAAAAACCGATTTTTGTGACCTTTGACCTTAAAATTTAATAGTTGCTTACACCCTACCATATGTAGGTTTTGAGACAACTTTTAGGGTGTCAATATACAAGTATTTACAGACTTACAGCTGGGTATCTCTAATTCCGAGATTCTTACCTAATTTAAGCTTAAATGACTGGACTATCATCATCTTTTCAGCTAAAGGACATCCACTGCTGAAAATGGGTCTCCCCAATGATTTTCAGATTGGCCGGTTGGTAGTGGACTGCATCCAGTGCTTTCCTACCTTTATGAGATCGTCTGTCCACCTTGAGTATTCAAAGTATTTTTGCCAAAAAAGTGTTTTTTTTTTTGTCTCGGAATTTTCCCCAAAACTGGCTACCCCAGTCTCACCTCAGTCTCAAAGGAGTCTCGTCTCGAATACGTAATTTAATTACGCAACAAACTTGTCAGCGTAGTTATTGTTGGCAACACTCGAGCCGATGACAGGTTGATAGTTTGTGAGTGCTAATAATCTGTGGTTTCAAGTTAGCTATGACAATTTGATTGTTTGTGATTGGAATGGTTAAAATTAGTTTAATTATTGGGATTAGAAATATTTCTTTGAAATGCTATGATACTCGTATTAACCCGTGTTTTATGCTGAGTTGCACCATCTTACTTCAATTTTGACAAACGTCAAAAATCTGTCAAACTCCATACAAAAAGCACCGGATAATATTAATGTACGGTTAAAATAAGGTGGTGGAACTCAGCCCTAAAGAAGAAAATCTGAGATAAAATTTTGATTTTTCAATGTATACTCGTAGAAGTTATTTTAAAGTTTTCGTGCTTACCTATTGCGTATTTAATAAATCAATTAAATTATTATAAAACATGAACCCCCTTACTAATAAAACGTACACGCTCGTTGAATAGTGTTTTAAAGTGACGTTTTGTATGGAAATGTCATTTTAAAACAGTGTTCAACAACTGTGTAACTTTTTAGGGTTCCGTAGCCAAAATGGCAAAAACGGAACCCTTATAGTTTCGTCATGTCCGTCTGTCCGTCTGTCCGTCTGTCCGTCTGTCACAGCCGATTTACTCGGAAACTATAAGTACTACAGTGATGAAATTTGATGGGAATATGTGTTGTATGAACCGCTACAAAATTATGACACTAAATAGTAAAAAAAAGAATTGGGGGTGGGGCCCCCCATACATGTAACTGAGGGATGAAAATTTTTTTTTCGATGTACATACCCGTGTGGGGTATCAATGGAAAGGTCTTTTAAAATGATATAAAGTTTTCTAAAAAACATTTTTCTTAAAGTGAACGGTTTTTGAGATATCAGCTCTCAAAGTCGTAAAAAGTATGTCCCCCCCCCTCTATTTTTATAACTACGGGGTATAAAATTCTAAAAAAAATAGAGGTGATGCATGCTAATTAACTCTTTCAACGATTTTTGGTTTGATCAAAGTATCTCTTATAGTTTTTGAGATAGGTTGATTTAACTGTAATTTTGGTTAAGTTATTGTGCTTACACTGAAAACGATGGCTGAACCTTATAAGATAGATCAAAAAATATACTACAGTATTGTACACCTTTTAAAATCCGCGATGATATAAAATCTTTATAATGTAGGTACTTTTTACGAGAAATATTAGCTTATTCAAGCAATACGCCATTAATCCTTATCCAGTAATGTACCTTAAATACATTGTGCATTTGATAAAGTTTAATATTACAAATGTGATTGTTGAGTAATAATAGGTTAAACATATCCATCGAACCAATATTTTTAAAACGCGTTAATCCTATAGATTATTATTACATCGATTCAAGAAGATCGGTCGCTCGCTGCGCTGCAGCGCGTGAGTTGCGGGGCGTGGTCTCGCGCGGGAGCGGGGATAAGATAGCTAACCGCGTCGACCCGAACGGGCAGACACGTGAGGGCAGACGTCGTTGTCACTTGTGCGCGCTAAGAGAATTTCATCGTTCCCATTTACTTCTTTCGCAAGTCGAATTTGGCGTTGAGACTTTTTAATATTGAATTGTACCTATTATAAAAAATAAGTAAGTAGGTATACTGGTTTAATAGGTGCTATTAAACCGGTCACGTACTAATAAATCCCCCAATAATATAAATTCCTTTGTTTTTGGTGCAAATTTTAGTGTTTCGTAGCAGGTTTTTAAAATTTCTAAAGCTTATTGTATATCATCTAACAATGGATACTTTAGATAATACGTTTTCCTACATTCTGAATTATAATAACTATATCGAAGATGATGTGGTTCGCGCATTTCATGAAAAGTTACTTCGGTGCACATCATTTAGACCGCGTGAGCTAGAATTATTTCAACACCCTGAACTGATTGAACCTGTACCTAAAAATGAGACGCACCTTCAAGTAATTTATGACGGTGACGTGGGATTAGTGGGGCACTGGAGTTGTATTTATTACATTAATGGAATACTGCGTGTGTACGATAGTCTTGTTGGTGTTCTAGGAAAATCGCAAAAAATATATGTAAAAGCCTTGTTTCCGTATCTATCGGAGTCATGTATTCAGTTTCCAAGTGTTCAGCGACAACCGAATACTATTGATTGTGGTTTGTTTGCCATTGCTTTTGCCACCTCTTTAGCTCGGAATATTTATAAATACATATATAAAATTAATATTCATACATAAAAGTACAAGGCAAAATATCGGGAGAGTTTAGGCTCCATTCACCAGGTGTATAAATTGACATAATAAGTTTATTATATTTGCTGCTACGGAACCCTTTGTGCGCGAGCCCGACTCGCACTTGGCCGGTTTTTTATTAGTAAAGGGGGAAGTCTCCTGCAAATAATTTGCACGAAAGTTGAGGTTAAAACAGAACCCCTAGACCCCTGGGATCAATTCGCAGGCTCTGAATGACATTAACTATCACAACCTTGATAGATTCACCTTAATTTGTATCTTGTAAAATTGTTTTTTTTTTTTACTGCAGCAAATTAAATAACTGTGCCGGTGATTGAGGTTGTTAAACCTAAACATCCAGTACAAGTTATTGTGTGAAGTTCCTATAAAATTAATTACAATCGGAACTTGCGATGTACTAACACACGATACAGTTCTCTCAAACTTGTGAATGGGAGTCCAATTTGTAACTACGACGGATCCTCTGCCCGGTGGAACTTCTGTCACATGTCTCGCGAGTTCCGACGATTTGTATTGAACTACGTTCGGTGGGCTGTGAAGGACGTAGAGAGACTGGAAGCGACTTGACTCAGACCTGTAAAACAGAGTTCGTCTTCTGCCCGCCACAGGCTCTTCCCGCGACCTTCACCAGATTGTCAGTCCACCTAGTGGGAGGCCTGCTCTTCAGAACTTTTCTGCCCCAACGGCCATCGTCTCTACGAGCTATGTGCCTCACCCACTGGTCACTTTTTGGTTCTCCTGTGGATCTTCTCATTTCTGATTCGATTCAAAACAGAGTAAGATGTCATAAACAATGTCTTACAAGAGCTTGCCCATAGGAAGGCAGCTGCCCCTCCTCTGTCGCTGACTTGCTCCCTCCCATAGGCCAGAAGATGGATAGTGGGTTTTGCCCTTTTTTGCCCTGTCTCATCATCGTCATCATTCCAGACATAAGACGTCCACTGCTGAACATAGGCCTCCCCCAGTGATTTCTATAATAACTGATTGGTAGCGACCTGAATCCAGCGCCTTCCTGCTACCTTTATGAGGTCGTCGGTCCACCTTGTGGGTGGACGTCCTACGCTGCGCTTTCCAGTACATGGTCTCCACTTCATAACCTTGCTCCCCCATCTGTCAGTTCTGTGTACTATGTGCCCTGCCCAGAAGTTGCAGGCTAGTCATAGTCATTGACATAAAAATGATCAAATAGAGGTAATAGTTCAAGTCCAGCAGTGGACGTCATTTGGCTGAAACGAACGAACGAACTCCAAGCCACATCTAGTACATGGATATAGGGATGTCAGTGCATCCTCGAGCACGGTAGTCTCAGGGATGAGCTCGGCCAGAAGTTGCAGGCCGCTTGCACCCGCGGGCGATTGCTTCACCTGCATACGTGCCTCTGGTCTTGATTATTAACTGAGCCGTAATTTAATCGGATCTAAAACCGGTATATTAATTATACATATACAGTCAGCGTCAAACAGTTCGAGACACCTGAAATAGACAATGAGTTCGCAACAAGTCTTTTTTGCGATTGGATTGATGGTTGTGTTTTCAACCTTTTGGCCACTTTGGGTGTGACGAACGATTTGACGCTGACTGTGCGAGTTGGATCACACACTCTTTGATTACAGAACCCTGAAAACGAGCTTTTTATATGCGCCGAAAAAATAGCATTTTGAAAGATCTCTTAACACGTTGGATGCCATGCGTGTCACTAGGTTCACACTGGGGACAATATATTTTCTATTGCATCTACCTACAACCTTCTATTGTTACTCCTACTACCTATTATTCTTTGGTTTCTTTCAATTGAAATACGTTTATCTAAAGCGTGTCTCTTAACACGAGTATTAAACGTAATATAATAAACAATGCTCATATTCTACACACAGGTGGCTTTAAATTAAACATAATTTATGTTCTGGAAATACATTCAATGACAGTACATTAAAGCATGCTACAAATTGTGTACAAGGCCACAGTTGCACATGACATGACATCTTGCTGTTTACACATAATGCTTGATGTTTGCCTATACATACATAATGCCGGATCCACACTATAGCAGAACAAACATCATCAGTAATAATGACATCAATATTAACGGGACTATTCCCACCTCTCGTTCCCACCGCTGCAACTCCTGTATAGCCAGAATCTACAGCTTGACCGCCACTAAAAACCCAACCAGTGAAGGTCAAGTTTGTCCCGGGGTAAAGTTACCTGTCATTGGACCCGCAAAGACATTAATCAGAAGAACATAGGAGGATTTTGGCCAACCCGGAAACGGAACATAATCGTATCAACTCGAGGCAGTCAGTATTCTTTGTATGAAACTCCGTACTGCAACGCACACTAATCCGCACCATAACGTAAACGCCTCGCCTCGCGGTTGACAGCGCGCAAAAGGCGCAGTATGGAATGGAGTTTCATTTACATGAATACTGACAGCCTCGAGTTGATACGGTTACGATCCCTTTCCGGGTTGATAGGTGTGCTACGTACTTTAGTCGATGAGCGTGTGAGTATGGACGCGTGGTGGGAGGTGCTACTCGCCTGTCAAATAGAACAAACTGGATTTATTTATTTATTTATTTATACATACTTCAATGCCAAAAATATTAACATTAGGCGAACTTAATGCCGGCATGGATTGGCTCGGCTAAACGATTTAGTAACCTACTAGACTAAATTTTTAGTGTTTGGACACGTTTAGCTACTAAATTACTCGCCACTTGCCTAAATTACTCGACAAGGCTTTACTGCCATTGGACCGGTCAAAAAGTACTAACACTAGGTACTAACTATCGAACATTATTAACTACCTCTCTACACGTGGAAGGACGAACCTTGCACTGCAGACAACGACGCAGTATTTATTGAACAAATGATATGCTATTTAAATTAAACATTAAATATTAACACACCTCTGTTGATTTTAAATAAATATACACCCAATTACAGACACTCGGTAAATACTTGTATCCTTCTGAATTTTGTACTTCTTGTTGTTTTGTTTAGTTCACTTGTGCAATAAAGTTTATATGTCAATGTTTTTACCCTCTACCGCATTAAAACATGTTTTTGTTATTTCATAAAAACTTTCCTCCGTATAAATATTACGGAAAATGCAAAAATGGGCACTTAAACGGATGCGTAATGAGCGAATCGTTTAGACCCATGACGAATGGGTCGGGGCATGCACTGGCATCATTATTTATAATATAACCAGCATATCTAGACCCTCACAACTTTACAATAACACCCCTCCCAAATATCCAAGTCTTATAACAGAGGGAGGTGGGGGAAGTCCCAATAAAATGGAGCATCTGTCGGGAATTGTACTACAAAATCTTGAAAGCAAATTATGTATTTTTCATGTATTATAACAAGTCGGGGATGGAATTCGCTTATGAAATTTTCTGTAGAAATATTTAAGGAGATATTGGAATTTGGATAGAAACATGAAATATTCAATAAATCTTGTGAGAGTATTAATGTTAGGTTAATTTTCAATAGACGGTTCGTCTAGCCTGTTTGGCATACCAAACTACAACGCTGTCTGGAGTTCAGGGTTCAAACCCCGCTGGGGACAAATATTCGATTGATCACAGGCATTTGTACCGAAAGTTATTTACATAACGCTATAATTAACAATACCTCCTAAACTTAACACTAGACTATCGCCTAGATTGGTTAGGGGTGGTGTCGACCAAACAAGAGTAAATATGAATCTCAGAATAAGTCATCAGTTTTGTCATAATTCCCATACAGAAACTGTCAATGTGCCAGTTATACCAGGAGTTATTATCGGATAAAAGTTTGGTCGAATCGGGCCTAATACTAGTTTAAAATTAGTTTTTAACGACGCTTCATAATAAGTACGAGTCTTTATCTTCTAGCAAAATAATGTTCCGAAATAATTGACTTCATACGTAGTTAGTTGGTGTAGGTCAAACAATGAATAACTATGAAAAATGTGGTTCGAAAAAAGTATTGGACATTGTGAGAGTGAACTATTTTCACGACCAAATCATCCCCGCAAACAAATTGTAAATTAAAAAACCGTTAAACTCGTGCAATGGACAGACGTCACTTCCGGTCCGATGCCTCGTCCGGTTTATGCGGAAGTGAGCAACAACAATAAAAATATTACTCGTTAAAACGCCGCGGTGGAGTGAACGTGTTAACGCTATTGAAATGCTCTCGGCTGAGTGACTTGACGTGGCCTAGTGGATTGTTGAAGGTACTGGGTTCGATGCCCAAGTGGAGCATACAGATAAATCTATATAAAAGCGAAGGGTCACTGACTGACTGACTCACTCACTCATAATGAAATTTCAGAAAGTACAAGTGCTAGAAGTGGCAAATTTTGTATGGCGGTTCCATTCAGAACGTAGATGCACACTAAGACGAAATTTTGTATAATTCAACTCCTAAGGGGTTAAACCGGATCCACGCGTACGAAGTCGCGGGCGGCCGCTAGTTTTTTTTGTTTATAATATGGTAGGTATATCACTTATAAAAGTGTTACCTCAATAATAATTACATCTCTTGTTACGCAGTAATGAAGGATATACAAAATAAAACAATTTGTCAAGGAAATAGTCATTTTTATGACACACCGATATCACGCGAAGCTTTAGGCAAGAGCTAGTACAGAATGCATCGTCAAACTCCAAAAAGCCAGGGACGGCCAACAATTTCATATTGCAGTTTAAATAAGTCTTCAAACTCACGTACCGTCGCAAAATGTTTACGACTACATTCGACTTTACTTTTTTGTTGCAAAAATAACACGTATTACGACTGAATAAGATGCCTCAGTGTGAGGCTTGAAGTGCTTAGGCTACATTCGAAGGTCCAGCGGCGTTCGCAAGTTAATTCCGAAGTTCTTCCGGTGGTTTTTATTAAGTTACACTGAAACAAACTAGGGGCGACTCCGGGAAAGTTCTCCGCGACATGCCAGCGTTGCGCCGTGTACAGTCTGCCGCAGAAATGTTAGATAAAAATGTAGTTACTACTATACGAGTAGGTTTAGCGCTTAACTCAGTCTGTGGTATGGGAAACGTCAAACGTCAGCGAGACTTTAGAATTTAGATATAAGCAGAGTAAATACAATGAGTAGGTCATCTTCATAGAAACCCACGGGTGCGGTTTGTATGTGAGCGCGCCAACACGTATGCGGCGCGCATGCACACACTGACAAAATTTAGCGGGGATTAGCGGGGAGCCAGTCGTGGTTGCGCCGAATTTTGTCAATGTGTGCGTGCGCGCCGCATACGTATATTGGCGCGCTCACATGCAAACCGCGCTCGGTGCGTTTCTAAGATGACCTACTCATTTGTATTTACTCTGATATAAGCTTCGGATCGTCTCTACGAGCTATGTGCCCCGCCCACTGCCACTTGGTTTTAGCAATTCTGCGAGCTATATCGGTCACTTTGGTTCTCCTGCGGATCTCCTCATTTCTGACTTTGAGGCCTTTGTCCAGCAGTGGACGTCATTTGGCTGAAACGAACGAACGAACGAACGAAGCTTCGGATTTGTATGCTCTGTCACGTCATATGTCAAATTGTCACCCCTCCCATGCCGCTTCCATACCTCAGGCACTGACTGAGTTAAGCTATCATGAATGAGAATTATTTTAAGGCGTGTTGACTTCCAACACCCCATTTTGTCAGAATTATGATTAGAAGGAATCATAATTGTTTTCGCAGGTTGGATCGATTCTAATATGTTTTCGCTGTCTTTCATTTTTTTAGATTCCAACGCCTGAGGTGGAATGGGGATGTTGCCTGGGTCAAAAAGCAAGAGTTTTAATTAGTCCGTCAGTTAACTTATCAAAAAATACTCTACACGTATTTTTCACTTTTTCAAACTAATGAAAATTTAAAGAGATAAAGCGCCCCAAAGTTCATAAGAAGAGGCCCGTGCGTGACGTCAACGCTTGCTTAAAAATGCCGCACGTTATGACGTCGTGCGCAACTTCAACGCACCATAACTATGTAATTATTTGTTAGATTGACAAATAAAAATATATGTGTCCAATATTTTTTGATATTAAACATTACGGACTAAAAAAATTTTTTTAGGCAACTAGCCTATTGTGTAAAGCAATCGTAATCATTTGACAGTTCATAACGTACGATTATTCTGTCAAAGGCTTTGTTTAACTGACTTTATCGTACGTTATGAACTGTCAAATGATTACGATTGCTTTACACAATTCCACCTCTGATTTAGTTAAGATCAAAAACAAAAAGTTTTATGTAGTCTTTATGTCGTTACTAGCATTTGGTTCTATTTTTTTTCGACTACTCGTAGTTTAAGTGTCCCCTGGGAGAAACTTGACCTTCACTGGTTGAGTTTTTATTGGCGGTCAAGC